CAAACAGAGGAAACATTGACAACAAACAGAGGAAACATTGACAACAAACAGAGGAAACATTGACAACAAACAGAGGAAACATTGACAACAACCAGAGGAAACATTGACAACAAACAGAGGAAACACTGACACCAAACAGAGGAAACATTGACACCAAACAGAGGAAACATTGACACCAAACAGAGGAAACACTGACACCAAACAGAGGAAACATTGACACCAAACAGAGGAAACATTGACACCAAACAGAGGAAACATTGACACCAAACAGAGGAAACACTGACACCAAACAGAGGAAACATTGACACCAAACAGAAGAAACATTGACAACAAACAGAGGAAACATTGACACCAAACAGAAGAAACATTGACACCAAACAGAAGAAACATTGACACCATTACAGCTGAGAACTAAACAATAACTAACTAACTAACTAAACAATAGAAACTAATGTATCACTAACATCAGCTCTGAACGTCAACTGGATGTAATCTACGACAAGCCAGGGGAGACACACAACATGGAAACAAACAGCTTCATCGCACACATGGGGAAAAATCGATCTCATGACTTATGAACCGATTTTCACAAATTTGATTAAAAATTGATACAAGTTGATGAAACAGATTTTAGAACCTACTGCTGTACGCTGGAGACGTCTTTTAGTTTAGTTTCTTCTCTGTTAAAATGATTTATAAACTACAGCCTTTGCTTCTTCCTCGTCTGTGTTTCCTCTGAACTCGTGTTTGGTCTCCAGAGACTCTCGACCAAACCGTGACTTTTTATGGTCATGTTTAAAAACCAACTTTAAGGCCTCGCTGTGTGAACCAGGTTTGTTCTGTCCTTCATGGAGCTGAAGTCAGAGCGTCGGTACGACTCCACCTACCAGTGCCAGTTGTCCTTTGGGCAGCTCAGTTTGGTTTTGGCTCCGCTGCCGTCGACACAGACCCAGGAAGCTGCTCGTGGCGTCATCGCCTCTGAAACACTCACAGCTCCTGGTAAACTGGAGGGAAGAGAGGAGTCTTTATGAAACATGAATCCATGGAGAATAAGACACAACAAAACACAGTTTAAAATGTTTCTGCTCTTCCTGTGTGGAACAACACTTTCAGCTGAGTGGAGAACATTTAGACACAACCAGTCACAGTGTTTACCTCTCAGCATCCACCCTCAGCTTCTTAAAGGCCGTCTGCAGCGTCTCCTCCTCGCAGTCTTTCCCTCCTGCCTCCATGGTGGCAGGAGGCTGCTCCGACCAGCCCCCCAGCTGTGACGCACAAAAACAGACACACAAAAACACTTCATGTAGCTTCGAACAGTCCTAAAACCAACAAACTGACAGCACCTTTTCAAAATAAAGCGCCACATTTAGGATGAAACAGAAAGGAGATGTTTCAGCTCCTTCTGTGAAATTAAACCCTGAGAGGTTTTACATCCCTGTGGAGGAGTTCTGACCCACTTGGGTTCAGGTTCTGGACCACTGCAGGACTTTCTTTTATTGACCCGATCTGTGGTGGGGCAGCTGTGGGACCATTGTTCTGCTGGAACCAGTTCGGTCCAGACTTCAGCTGTTAAAGAGACGGACTCACAACCAGAACCTCTGGTCTACAGAGGAGATCCAAACCATCATCCCTCCACCACCATGCTGACAGCTGGGACATGTTTGGTCCACAGGTCCAGTCGGTTCTGCTCAGTTTGTAAATTAAATTAAATCTTCATGTTTAACACAAACAGCAGGTAAAACAGTGATGTTACATTTACAGTCAATAATCCTCCAGAGGACCTCCCACCCTGTTAGCTCTGTTAGCATGATGAAGCTAACTGGCTAACCTGGTCTGATCGGTTCTGATCAGCTTTAAACCCGAACACTGCAGGTGGTACTCACGGTTCGGGCTGGCCTGGTCAACCCAGAGAGAGAAGAGAAGACGGAGTCAAAGAAGACTCCAAAACCTCCGGGGTGTTTTCCAAAACGGCTAACAGCTAGCTAGCTAGCTAAAGGACTGTCTCCGACACAACACGAGCCGCCACACGGGGAAAACACGACACGTTCACGGCCCAAGGACTCCCACAGAACCGCTGACGAACCAACAGCAGCTGCGAATAACAGAACCACCGAGAGCCCGGAGGTTCCGACACAACTGGGCCTTTTTCCTCTGGTCCTGCAGCTTGTTTACAGTCCAACCGTCGCAGTGACTCTGCAACAACACGGAGCTAATGACGTCACCAGGCCGAAACCAGACTGACGTCACCAAGTGGCAGCACCTAATGCGTGTATTCTGTTATAAGACCACCAGGTGGCAGATATTAATGAGTGTATTCTGTTATATGACCACCAGGTGGCAGCACCTAATGAGTGTATTCTGTTATATGACCACCAGGTGGCAGATATTACTGAGTGTATTCTGTTATATGACCACCAGGTGGCAGATATTAATGAGTGTANTATTCTGTTATATGACCACCAGGTGGCAGATATTAATGAGTGTATTCTGTTATATGACCACCAGGTGGCAGATATTAATGAGTGTATTCTGTTATGTGACCACCAGGTGGCAGCACATGTTCTGTTTTTCCTGCAGAAACTTCTTGTTTCCTCTTCAGGGTTAAAAAGTTTCTGCCTGCCCCAGAATTCTGCAGCAGGGTGTGTCGTGTTTTTCCTCAGGGGATTAAAAAGAGCAAACAGTGGGAGAACTTACAGTAAATCATCAGAGACGTTCTACCTGAAAGGAACCACAGAGAACAGCAAACAAAGGTGAAAAACTCAGGGTTGTTTATTTACTCTGATTTCTCTGGATGTCTGCTGTGATATTTACTAGATTATGAATTCACAGAATACATTGAAAAACACTGAGAATCACTTCTTGTCTACAGATGATTTGTGTTTCTCAGAAATGTGAGTTCAGTTTTTATTTAAAAAAAACTTCTGAAAATCAGTCTCGTTTAAACAGTTACTGAAATAAATGTGTTGCTGAATTACGCAAAGCCAAACAACAATATTTAAAAAATCAAATTATTTCAGCCAGTAAGAATCCAGAAATATTATGGGAAACGATGAAGTCAGTGACAGGTGAAAGTAACAATAAAACATTTAATAATTCACAAATCTCAGTAA